AGAATAAAATTTTTTTCCGTCTGTATGTACGTACGTACGTTTGTTGGCAATTTTCTGAGAAAACGGCTCGACGGATTTTGTTGAAATTTTGTATATATGTTTTAGGCATACCGAACAGAAAAATAACGGGCCGGATTTTTGAAAAAAAATTTTGGAGCGCCGTAACGGCATCGAACTTTTTTTTTCAAATAACCTAAACCTAAAATTTTTATTCTATTATTTGGAAGACCTTATTTTCCTGTGTACAACCTACAAAAAATTGGGCCGGGTTATATTATCAAAAAACGGAGAAAAAAATTGTCAAGTCAAAAAATTGTGTTGCATATGTGCAAAACGCAACGATCTTGTTTCTGAAGCAATTTAAACGAAATTTCTATGGTAAGTCCCTTTAATAAAAGCAAACAAAATTCATGCGCAAAAATCGTTTTGCGCATGCGCAGAAATGCAATTATCTTATTTATGGAACAATTAAAACGAAATTTGGATGGTAGGTCCTAATAAAAGAAAACAAAATGCATGCGCAAAAAATTGAGTTGCGCATGTGCAACATCCAACTTTCTTATTTATGGAGCAATTTTAACGAAATTTGGATGGTAGGTCCCCCTAATAAAAGCAAACAAAATGCATGCGCAAAAATCGTGTTGCGCATGCGCAGAAATGCAACTTTCTTATTTATGGAACAATTTTAACGAAATTAAGATGGTAGGTCCTTTTAATAAAAGCTAACAAAATGCATGCGCAAAAAATTGAGTTGCGCATGTGCAACATCCAACTTTCTTATTAATGGAGCAATTTTAACGAAAATTGGATGGTAGGTCCCTTTAATAAAAGCAAACAAAATGCATGCGCAAAAATCGTGTTTCGCATGCGCAGAAATGCAACTTTCTTATTTATGGAACAATTTTAACGAAATTTAGATGATAGATCCTTTTAATAAAAGCTAACAAAATGCATGCGCAAAAAATAGTGTTGCGCATGTGCAACATCCAACTTTCTTATTTATGGAGCAATTTTAACGAAAATTGGATGGTAGGTCCCTCTAATAAAAGCAAACAAAATGCATGCGCAAAAATCGTGTTGCGTATGCGCAGAAATGCAACTTTCTTATTTATGGAACAATTTTAACGAAATTTAGATGGTAGGTCCTTTTAATAAAAGCTAACAAAATGCATGCGCAAAAATAGTGTTGCGCATGTGCAACATCCAACTTTCTTATTTATGGAGCAATTTTAACGAAATTTGGATGGTAGGTCCCTCTAATAAAAGCAAACAAAATGCATGCGTAAAAAATGCACCTTTCTTATTAGCTTCCTAGCATGTGCTAGGTAGCTATTGCGATAGCCGTTTTTTGAACATTTCAAAATTTCATCAAATGTCGACGTTTTAGACCATTTTAAGAAACTTTTAAAGAATAAAATTTTTTTCCGTCTGTAAGTGCGTACATATGTTGGCAATTTTTGGTTTCAGCTAGGAAGCTATTCTGTCAAGAATTTGACACCTGGTTTTATTTGGTTAGTACGTTGGCATTACAATATATTGTTAGTATTATTTGTTAATCCTTTTCTATTAAATCTCGGAAAAATAATGCATTTCTTGAGCCTACTATTGTATATCCAACCTTTAAATTAAGTCATTCAAGAAAGATCCGATCAAAACTAACTAGTATGCATAGAAATGCAAAGAAGGACTGCAGGATACCGAGTTATTGCATTTATTGGATTCACCTGGGCAGATATCCCCAAGCCATACAATATTATAAAATTGAAAGATTGGCAAATGAGACTGTAATAGACATAACTTAATCCCACGACGGAATATCCATCTACCCATATCTACGAGCGCATATGAGAGCCATAATTGAAAATTTAACAAAATTCCTTCACTTTCGTCACCTGTAGTTATTAGTCGAATCCTGGAAGCGTTTGATGTTACATATTGGTACACAAATATGTACAAACGAGCTGATGGCAGAAATGAAAATGTAATTTAATAACTAAAAGTAATTCGGTTTAATTATATCCTGGACGAATATTTATTTATATTCAAACTTGATTACACCGATAACTATGAAATCAAAATCCCGTTTACCCCCATGGCCAAATTAATTTAGTTTTAAATCAAATTTAATTAGTCGGGATTCGCTTCTGGAAAAATTCTTTTGACTTACTAAATTAATTGAATATTTGGTATATGTGACTAGAGTCGTTTTCCATTGTCTGCAAACGTCTTGTTACGCTCCTCTAACGTTTGTAGCAACCATATTAGCGAACAAGGAAACAAAACGACCGCTTCCAAAACATTCCATACACTAAATGCCCTATTGTGTCTGTTGATAAAGTTTAACAATTTTGTTCCGAAACTTCACATGTATTTGTTTTCAGTCGAATCGATAATACAAACTGTTCGGGAACACCGAATGAAGTTTTAGTAATTACTATTCTGTTAAATTTCGAATGATAATCATTTAACTAATCCCACCGTAAACATTCATTTTAATTTGCTTAACGTTTTCATCGATAACTTGCCGACAGTAAAATAAAAAGCGACGCTAATTGTGTAGCTTCGCACATCCCCGAGGCAGACGTTTAATGAGATGAAATTGAAGCAATATCTTTTTCATCTAAATATAAAGCACGTCTGTATTAACACATAATAATTAACTATATATTCTCGCAAACTTCATTGCGGTTGTAATACTGTCTTCCAGACCCGAAGTTAGTTTAACCAGATCGATTTTACTCTAAATTAGGAAAAGTTTGTCCGCCGGTTTAGAAACGCTTGTGTGCTATTTTCGTAAAAAGAACAATAATTGCTTATTTCTTGTTTTCATTAATTACATACTTTTATTATACAGGGAGGCAAAACTACTGCGGCAACCCAAAATACCATGAAATCAAGAAAGTCTGATTTTATAAAGGGAATTCGTTAGCGGATACATAGATTTGTTGTTTTTAGCGCATTTCCACAAAAATAAAAAAAATGCCCTATTGTGGCCACTTTGTCCGTCCGTCCGTCCGTCCGCTCGTTTTGCGACGCTACTAGTTCT